AACCACGGACAACTGCTGATTTGCAATGACACTTTCATTACAACGGCAGCAGCCTATAACTCATGGGTACCCATTAGTTATTAATGCCTGGCCACGCCAGCTTTACTTTGTCATTTATTGCTTCATCTCTATGCCTTTTTAAATATTCAGTAACTGCTGTACCTACATTTACTGTCTGTGATCTCCACCAAGGAGAAGGCTATAGCTTGTGGTGGAAGATGACCTAGTTATTATGGAGGCCTGGGCCTTGCTTGCCAATGCCAATGCAGTCTATCATCTATATAGTCAAGTTTGCTACAGCAAGTCAAACTTGATCTTTTCTGTGTTTTTGTCTCATGTCCGACGGTTAACATAAGAACCAGACATAGAAGTCCTGCTCTTCCTTCTTCACTGTAGACATGCTCTTAATTGCATCATCAATTACTTGTTTTGAAGTCCCTTCAGTATTTATGCATTATGCATTTACAGGTTATTCAGCTTTGTCTGAGGCTTTATGAACCCAGATTATTCCAGAGGTGTCTGGTGTCAGGGCAGGACTTTTTCAGTGACATACAACATGCCCTCTGTGGCTCAAAGGTCAAAGGTAACACATTAACTCCTTCTCTTGAAGAATGTTATCACCCAGATGTTTAAAATCCAACATGAGACAAGTGAATAGAGACTATTCTGCTACATAAAAGCAAGTGCCACGTCATATGAAAGTTGACATTGCAATATCAATCTATGCAATGCAATGGATTTTCCTGTAGATAAACTAAACACTTAGACCTGACGGTGGAACAGTTGAACAGCACAGACAAAAACTAAATATAAATGAGCTTCTTGATTTGACAAAAACTTCTCAATCATGTTGACTTAAAAGTTCAGACTGAAATGGATATGGAATACATGACAATCATAAGTTCCAGCTCCAGAGTCTGATTTGGGTCAACTAAATGGGTTCAAGAGACTTACAGTATCAGTGCCTTAGTCACACTGTAGAGGCTAAATCAGTAGGATTAAATACAGTAATGTTGTTAAAAGACATGTTTCTCATACAACACTACTGGATACCATTCATTCATAAAAAGACAGATAAAGAGGACTGTCTCCTTCAGTGTTCAGGCAGCTAAAACCTGTCAAATACACTAAACAGCAACGCTCAAGCATGTAATTCCCTAATGCTTTGATATTGTTTTAGGTTGAACACATAATCCAATTAGGGCCTTCAGGTAAAACACTTTGAAGTTTCAACTCTAACAAAACCCTTGTGGTTTTCTCTAATTTGGTCAAAGTGTTTGTGTGAGATCATTTCATTTGTGAGTAAATCAATCACACTGAGAAATCCGACTGCATATAACCACAGCAATTGTAATGTGTTTGTACAAACAGCTACATTTTACCTCATTATTTCAGTTGGGTCGGGTATACTGAAACACTCTCCGAGCATGACTCATACTCATCGTAATGAATTAAGAAATTGAAATAAATGTATACCTTTTAATCTGTCAATGTATTGATTATTTCTGCTTTGAACAGTTTTGCATGAACAACAAGGGCTTCATAAAAAATGATTACCTGGTGTTCATTAAAAAACAAGGCTCCACAAAAAGTGGAACTTGTAAAAGATCATGTTTTCTGCAAGAACCTGCTTTATACTAACCCTTATATATCTGAGGACAGGTGCATGAACTGTATATGGAATGCATGCTGGTCTGATAAGAATCACTGGCAATGTGGTATCATATACCTACAATAGTGTCCTTTCCACTGAAGAGCCCCTGGGAACATCGCATCTGTAACCTTCAGTGAGTTTCTATGAATATAACAAGATCAATGTCAACTATCTCTCTCTTGCACACAGGTATCCACAGGTGTGTCAAACATCCAAAAACATATAAACTTATCAACAAAAAACATTGTTGTTTTTTTTCTTGTATCTAGTTAAAATCCAGATAATTTTTGAACATTTTATTGCAAAAAAACAACACTAAAAACCATTAACTTGAATTAATTGTCACGTTAATTCAGTTGGAGTTCAGTCGCTGGTGAAATAAGACAACAATCAAACATATAGCTTCGCACACAAAGCCTGTCGCTTGAGACTAATATAGACTGGCTGCAGGAGCTGTGGGAACCTCACTCCAGACTGCTCTCCACCTGTGCACAAGCACGTGCAGCTGCACAGGTCATTATCGAGCGGGTGCGTGCGGGCGCGCGCTGGTGCGACTGTTTGCTCTTTAAATGAGCGCAGTCGTCCAATCAGCAAATTGTATTTGGTTGTTTGCGACATAATAACGTGAAACACCAACAACTGCGTGTGTTTTCAGTACAATTAGGGATAAAAGGACAACGGAGGAGGCTGCCTTCATGGATTTAAACAATCTGCAGTGCTTTTGTGGAGGGAAATGTTATTTTAAATCTCTTTGTATATCACACAATTAAATATATCATTTGAATAGTAATCAACAACTATTTTGCATCTGGGTTTTTATAATATTTTCAACACAGCTTTTAGTTTAAGAATAATGTTTTTTTGTCCGATTGAGTTCAGATGGAATCTGCTGTATTTAAATGTGGTCTTTTCCCCAACATCTGCTATACTGAAACCTTAAATTAAAATTGAATTAACATCAGCAACATTTGGTTTCCCACTCAAATAATGTCAGTTCTAGCTGAGCCTAAAATACTATATGTACCCCCAGTATGAAGCTGTGGACATATTTTGATTAATGGGGTATGTGGATACAAATATTTACCATATTCATGTCGCTTATCATTATTTTAAAAAAAGAAAAGAAAAAGAAAGGATTGGAACACATTATTAAATTAAGATTAACTTAATTAAAAACAGAACTTATTTCAGTTTCCCCTTCTTAAAATAAATCCTGCATATTATGTCTGATTGCATATATTCTATAGATTTATTCAAGCTAAAGTATTGGACAAAATAAAAACGATTAACTTGGTGTACCGGAAAATGTTTCAGGTTGTGAAGTCTTCCTAAATATTTCTTTTATGTTTGATACCACCCTGATGACGAGCCAGAGGTGTCAGTTAACGCCCCCTAGCGGCTTGAATGTCGTCTCTTCCGACGTGTTGTCAGCCTGCAGCATCACCGGTGCAACATCACACACAGAGACATCACACGGAGTCTATATGTGCAATTTTACTGCAGGCACTCTTATCCGGTGAGACATGTGGAAGCCGAACCTGCCTCTCACATGGTGTAATGTAAATAAATGAGAGACGGAAATAATTGTTATAAACGTGTTAACCAAGTGCAAGTTGGACTTTCGATGTTTAAATGCTTTGATGTTTTTTCTTTTTTTTATGAATTTGTATGTCAGATATTCCCAAAATGACACACATAGAGCTGCGTTTGACAGCATCTCATATTGTTTTCCCCACATACGCCTTAATCAAAATGATATTGTACTGACTGCACCCTGAATGTGACCTCTGGTGGTGCCCGGACGCCTCTTTCACAACCTCTTTAAACTGCCTCTTAGAGTGGATATGAGAATATTAAATACCTCCTTAGTTTATACATTAAGAGTCGAATTATGAGGAAAATATAATGACAGAAATTAAAACTTATTACAGAGCCAACAACTTCTATATTTATATCTCTCTTTTTTTATTTCTAGTCTATTATGTGTTTCGATTAGAAGAATAATCAACAGAAAATAGCCAATAATGTGCGTTAATGTGACAAACAAGGTTAGTCTGGCAATAAAACGAATTCCATAATACAATATGATACTGTACATTACATGCATTACTATGCTGCTATTATTATTTCCAATAATAGGATGATAAAATAATAATAGCTCAGTAATAATAATGAATGAAATGCCACGGTGACATTGGAGAAGCCTTTTGCATCATCAGCACCTTCTTCGGTGTCTGAGAGTGAATTGAAGCAGAGAGAGAGGCTCCTTTCTCTTTCTCAGGGGGATCAGATAAATATAGCGCCTATAACCCCCCTTCACACACTCTCACACAGACACACACACACACACACACACACACACACAGACAGCCCGATCACCATTTGCTGTTTGTGTAAAAGTGATTAGCCAGACACAACTGCGAAACTGTTACCTTTATAATAGCCGAGCCGCGGAATATCCTGTAAAACGACACGAGCAGTGATGTAATGGTAAATTAAAAGGTGTCTAAACTGTGACCTCCAGCCAGGGATCATTATCAGGGAAAACTACCATAAATATAGTTTGGTTTTTTTTTTAAACAAAGAAGTTTTATTATTTACCCATAAATGTCCATGTAGCCTATTTTACACCAGTTGATCTTAACATCTAAAATATGATGTCTGATTTTTGGTCAGCATGAAAAAGTGTAAACATTCCGCAAATAAGCAGGTAGAAACTGCACTAAATGTCAATATGACACCTTTTCATTTTACATAATAATTACCCTTTTTCACCTATTCTTTAAATTTAAAACCCAAATAAACTCCATGTTATTTCCCTTATCAGCATCAATTATCGTTTAATTTAAAGAGCAAATTAAAAAAAACATTTATTTAAGATCTCACAGTAAAGTTGTACTAAAAGTAAAATATAAATCTAAAAGGCTGAAAAGAGTTGATATGGTTGTTCAGCTGCTGCCGTAAAAGTTTAATTCAATTTCTCTGTTACTTGGTAAATATAATTAGCTCATGATGGAATGGTACGGCCTGCAAATAAAAATACATTTAAAAATATAGACATTTAACATTAGGAAAACTGGATCATACTAATAATTATTAAGCCTGAAAGTGATTTAGTAAATTTAAACACATCATATTCACAAGATAAGACAACCTTTCTTGTACGTGATAAATCTCTGAAGTAAATTTTTATAATGTCTACAAATCAAAATTAAATTTCCATGTCTTTGATTTTTATTTAATGCCTGGATAGCGTGAGAGGTTATTTATATAAAAAGAATATTTTCAAGAATATATTTCTCATTAAATATGTTATCAAACAATTTAAGAATAATGAAAAATGATGTTAATTCTTTCTTAGATTTATTTACAAATAAATTCAGTTTACAACACAATATAGCTACATAGAATTACATATATTTGATCTTTTTTTTTAATTATAAACAGACTATTTTTTCAGAGCTTTTTTGTGTCTCGTATGAAAAGGAAGCAAGAAATTGTGTCCAGTTGAGCTTCCGATACAAAAAGAAAATGTAAAATAATTATCACAGATCTCAAACAGGAACAACAGAAATAAGACAGGTAAAAGTCAAACAGGTAAAATCATTCTTTTTTTTTTTTTTTTTACAAATATTTACAAATATTACCTGTACAGAAATATCTCCTTTTTCTTTTTGCTCTGTGTGTTTCAACAGTCTTTACATGGCTACAGAGTCCAGTGTTTCTTATTGATTTGTGCTGTTCACACTTCCGCCAGTAATAATGTCTCTATATATAAAAATAAGAGTTTATTTTCTTATGATTTGCAGTCACTGCGAAGGCCATTTGGACACTGCCGCCGCCGTCGCTGAAGGTAAAACGTGTCCAGAAATAATATTTGACGGTACGCTGAGGATGGGAGCGATAGCGGCAGAGGTCCGGGTCAGAGAAAGGGACTGTGCGCTCAGCAGGGCCGACTGAACGGTCACCGGAGGCCGCAGGAAAGCCTGAGGTGAGGACGAGGAGGCGCTGGACACCCCGATGATGTTCTCTATACTGAAAGACGGTCTGTTTGAAGGCTCTGATTTGATCATGGACGCCGTGCTCAGGCTGTTGAGCTGAAGTTGAAGGCTCGGGCTGAGCTGGGAGTTGAACGCCTTTCTGTTCAGCTCCGCCGAGGACAGGAGGGGGACACCCGGGGGCAGCATGTGACCTACAGGGGGGATGTATGGGTACTGCAAAGCCGCCGGATGGGAATAAGCAGCCGGGTGGATCCCGTAGTGCCTCCCGTAGGGCCCCCCAAGGCTGTACGCACCGAAACTTTGCATCATGAGCGCAGTCTGGTCCCTGAGCATGTCCGGCTGAACTCTCTTGAACCTTTTCCTCCTCCTGAGGAAGCTGCCGTTGTCGAACATGTCCTCCGAAGCGGGATCTAGGGTCCAGTAGTTGCCCTTGCCGGGGTTACCAGGTTCCCGGGGGATTTTCACGAAGCAGTCGTTCAGGGACAAGTTGTGGCGAATGGAGTTTTGCCACGCCGGGAACTTCTCTCGGTAATAGGGGAAGCGGTTGCTGATGAACTCACAGATCCCGCTGAGGGTGAGCTTTTTCTGCGGGCTCTGGAGGATGGACATGGTGATGAGGGCGATGTAGGAGTAAGGCGGCTTTACCAGGCTGTTTTTGGGCTTCTGGATCGCACCTCCCGCCGCTGCGCTCTGGTCTTGACCCTCTCCCTTTCCGGTGCCAGTCTCTCCCTCCCCGGAGCTCTCGCAGCACGGGCTCCCTCCACCGGACCCGATCTCCTCCTTCTCCACCTCGATCTCATCTTCCAGCTCCTCGTCGCCTGCTTCTCCTCGGAGGTCGTGCAGGATGCCTCCCCCGGGGCTGTCGCAGTCGCTGTCCACCCTCTCCATGCCCTCCTCGTCTCCCTCGCCTACCACGTCGATATCCACGTCCTCCGCTGTGAGCACAGTTTGGCCGGACATGTCGCTGGCTCTTTCGCTGCCTCCAGACAGGGTCATCTCACGGCGTACTAACACTTTTTTCTAAAAAAGTCTGCCGGAGCCAAAACAACCGAGCAGCCGGGTGTGATGAGTAGGTGGGACCAAGCGCGGTCAGTGCGCACACACGGCGGGTCTGCTGGACTTTCTGGTCGCCCCTGTCAAGAGATCGGATGTCTCCAAAAAATCTAAATATGGTTGAACCGGCAGCGAGCCAGTCAAGCCAAAGAGAAAACTTCAACTTCTACAAATATTTCTCCACTCGGTAAGTGAGCAAAGGCCCCTGAAAGCGGCGAGTCTTGCCTTGAAGTTGTTTGGAGATGTTTCGAAATTGTGCGCTCCGACGTCCCTTCTCGGTGCGTGTATTTCCTACAGGAGTGATATTTGGAGAACCAAGTCGAGATGACACATGCTGCTTTTAAAGGCCGGAGCTTTAAAAGGACTGTCTGATAGATTACTTTTCCCAGTATAAGATATACTACCAGTGCAGGACACGTGGTCCGGTGACGACAGACGCCCCCTCTCCTTCTCCTCTCCTCCCTCCCTCCCTCCCTCCCTCCACCCTCCTCTCTGTTAAACCATGCAAACTGGAGTTGTTTCATGGATTTGTCAACAATGGGACATCAGCAATGCTGCTTTCCGCTGATTTCTGTGTTCGTCCGTCATAGACCATTTAACGGTGGCAGAGGGAGGAGGAGGAGGGGGAGAGAAAATTGGCCTGCATGATTGAAAGATCTGATGCGCATTAACGTGGCTGCGTAAAAACAACCCCAAACCTTTAACTTTGCTAATGCAAACTCTGTTGAAAAGCTGCAGAATGAAAACGACGACAGCTAAGTTCACTGAATCCTCCTTTAAGTTCCTTTATGTGTGTGTGTTTTTTAATATTGTGAAATTGTGCATGCATGGATTTTATTCGGTTTAATTTTAAAAACCAGTTCCCGTGCATGTTATCTCTGCGTAAAAGCATACGTTGTCAATGCGTGAGGATTAAACATTTGTACTTTGTTTATTTGGAGCTGAAACGCATGCCTTGATATTTCCAGCTTTACAGCCCCGCCGTGTAAATCCAAGCTGCGAATGCAAAGCATGAATTGAAGTCTATTTATTCCCGCAGGATTAGCCGAAGGTGGGAAGAATATTGAGCAGCAGCGGCCAGCAGCACCGGCGACAATGAATGGAGAGAATAAAGAATTTCCTTTAAGAGTTTGGAAGAGGTGCTAACGACCCCAATCATTGCACGATTTTACATTTGAAAAAAGTAGGAAATGCGGGCAGCGGGTGAATGCAAAGAGAGCGTTTATTCACAAGCATGAAGGTGAGCGGTGTAGGCTGGGCTCAGGGAGAGGATGTCGGATCTGATACAGAGGGGTTTCCTCCGTAGTGTGAGAACATTTGGGAGGACTGGTGAAAAGAACAGGGCACTCGTATTTTCAGCTGTAACGTTCAAAGCGACTGAGGACACGTGTGGTAAATTAACAATAGCCTACTGGAATTTAAACTCAGATATACTCCGATGTGCCACAAGCGATTTAAACCCTCAATTGATTTTATCGGAAGTCTTTTAGAAGGTTAATGAAAATATCTATAATCAACAGCAGCCGGTTATTTCTGACAAAAGCTTTATTTGAATAAATTAAAATGGATAAATAAATTACAAATGGTGGAATTAACGATTATTTCTTTTTCTTTCTTCATTTTTTCTCAATTGAAACACATTATGAGAATACATTTTAATGTAGAAAATAGCCTATAATTTACAGTGTTATTAATATTCTCAATATTATCACTAATATTATATAATTATTAACATTCTTATTATTGTTACATTTAACTAAATTAGACGTGTCACCTATTAATGACATAATTATCATTAATTACTTTCACATGAAGTGCATGTATATAGAAGAGCGAATATCTCAACTAAAAGCGCCTTTTCATTGGTTTATTTTGCGGTTTACTTTGCTTTAATATCCCATCAGTGTTTTTCCCCCCTGTATCTTATCGTTTTTGGAGTAAATGTGATCCTTTAATGGCCTTCAGCAGCGCACAGAGGTGCTGCTTCATGCGCCACCTCCGACACCTCAGCTCTCCGGATAAAAGTGGGATTAATCAAACGCTATCATTAATAATGTGCGTATGGGTCAAAGGAGGGAAACATGGTTTCCGATTAGACTCGCCTTTTGTTAATCTCTCATTGACCTGTGTGATCTGGAAGGTCCGTCAATACGGACTACTTAGCAGATGAAACCAGAGTCTACATCAACTTTTATCCTGCTTATCCGCAGGGCGAATGCGTATTTAAGACAGCGCTGTTTTCTATTCATTTCTGCCTTTCTCAGGCCATAAATCAGGAAAAAATGAACTTTTGCTCAAGGTTGTTTGTTCGGGAGGTTTTGCTCAAATCGAATTCTTTTCAGACTCATTTGCACTGCTGTTTGACACATTTCGTGCATTTCTTCAAAGCATCAGAAGTCCCATTGAACTCGATATATTAGTGACCTTTTTGATAATAAATTAGCTCCTCGGGCTCAACAGAAAAGGTTTGTTATGTAGCCAAAACCACATTTTTGGCTCCTATTAAAAAATGTTTTATAGCAGCAAAATAAAAGAGCTTTATGAACCACATCTGCCATTCTTCTTATTTTTGAAGGATTTTTGAAGGAATCAGAAGGTCATAGAGCCACTGTCTTAATCATCTCTCCCCTCTCTCTCCCCCCTGTGTGTGTGTGTGTGTGTGTGTGTGTGTGTGTGTGTGTGTGTGTGTGTGGCGAGAGAAAGAGACAGGTGCAGCCAGCCTCCTTTTAAAAAATCCCAGAGTCGCAGTGTTGTGTGAAAGGCGGCGTAACTGCTGATATAACCTGACTGAAACAGCACCGAGAGGGGGTTTCAAACCCGTCCTTCCTGTGATCTTTTGAAGCCTCATAAATCCGCTTTTATACCTCCGCAGTTTGTTAATGAAATGTACGTTTTAAGCACACATGCACGGCTTAGCGCGACAAAACCTTTTAGTATAATAAGCCAACTCGCTCCGGCATGAAACCATTTGGGGAGGGGGGGGCGACAGGAGATACAGCGGAGCAGCAGCACAGGTGATGGAGAGGAAACAGTCACCACATGTGATCACTGCAAACTACCAGCAAGGTCACCGAACAAATAATTGTGATCATAATAATGTGATGCTCTGGTGATTCCTGAGAGCGAGCACTTTTTCTCACTTGCCCCCCCCCCAACCCTTGTGTAGCCTACTCCTCCGTCTCACCGGGGTCAGAGGTCAGGGTCACCTGCAGAAGACGACAGTTGTTTGCTCAAGGACACTTCAGCAGGACTGGAGATGATCTGTCTAGATGACTGATTGTTAAATATTGTGATTGCGTTTAATTTTGGGGGAAATTCGGAAGTAGTGGAGAGATACTTGGGATACTTTTTCTTTTGTGTGACATTATTTGTTGCCATTGAGGTGATTTAACTTTGTCCCGCTTTACAATTTCCATATAATGACAATTTTAAAGAAAAACTTGTGAAAAAGCGCATTTTCACAAGTTTTTGAAGGTCATAGGACCAAATATGAAAACTACACGAATATGGAACTGGTTTTAGAGCATTTTAAGACATTTTATATTGCAGTTTATGTATGTGTGAGCTTAGGGCTTTCAGTGGAAGTAACGTGTGGAGGTTGAGGCCTGTATGGGAGAGGTGGATGCGGTTTTTTTCTAATCAATAGTGACTCTCTCCTCTTTTAATCTTTTGATTTCTTAAAAAATAATCCTAAAATGACCTGTCGTTGTGCAGGAAATGTGTGACCCAAATGTAATTGGAAATTCATCCCGTGGCTTATTTGATTTTCAAGAAATAAAAAGTTTCTTTGTTAATTATTATTAATTAGTTATTAAAATCTCCATTAACAAATAGGAGACTAGCTATTTTACATCATATCTGCACATACCATAAGGGCTCGAAATACAAACATATTGATTCAAGACTAATTTAAATCCAGAAACTGAAGCTGAACCTTGCTGGACTCACATTCTCGCATCGAAATCTTTGCTGTTTGTGAAAGCAGATTTTGTGAAAGGCGACTCATTTAATTAATTAGGTGAGTGAGCAGTTGGGGGCAGCAGCTAGTAAAACGATATGATAAATTAATGGCATTGTTAGCGCGCCTGTAATTACAACCATTATGTTAATTATTTTACACCAGTAGCCAAATCTTCAACTTGTCACATTTAATAAAAACAAGATGTTCTCAAAAGAAAAAAAAAAAAAACCTCACTACATCCGCAAAGCTTTGTGCCACACAACAGTTATGTCACACAAAAAGAATCCTTAAATCATTGAAATATGTCTCTCTGTAATTTGATTGTTCATGGTCAACAGTGTGAATTCTGCAGAAAAAGGCAGAGACATGTGAGCTGAGGGTTTTTTTCCCCTTCTCCTTCCTCCTTCTTTTTGGAAATGACCATTTTCAGCCCTTCTCAAAGAATCCACTCTATCAACCTGCGAGTTTCTGTCAAACAATATGATGGAGCCCATTTTTAACTCTCCCTCCTGCAGGATGAGCCGGAGCCAGAGCTCTCCTGCACAACAAAGCGCAAAGGGCCCAGAGTCGAAGAGCCACGTGTGTCTGTCTATGTGTGTGTGTGTATATAGATAGGTGTGTGTTTGTGTTTGTGTACGTTGGATGTCTCATCTATTTGACGCCTCTGTATAAAGACACCACGCAGCAGCAGATCAGGCTGCACAGTAACAGCAGGTGATGTAGAAGGACTCAGCTCATGTCTTAACTCACTTCAGCTTTTCGTTTCGTTCCCTTTTTTTGGGGGGTTGAGATACTTTATATCATGATGGGCTCTGAATTCATAGGTCATAGCTATATGATCACAGCATGTTTAACTCATCTCACTTATGTTCTTATTTATTGTGTCTTCAGATGGTGGCAGTGCTGCTGAAGTCAGTGGAAAAATAAGCATTAAGACACATACTTTTTTGAGTTAACAGAATCAGTGGACAGCTGTATATCTGGGTCATATAACGGATTTTCTTTTCTACAGTCTGTATTTTACAGTTATCAGTCTGAGGTCTTCAGGCTTGTCTGCGGCCTTGCAGGCTTTCAATGCACCACAATTTACAAGTTGTATGTTGGCCATGAAGTTTGCTTTATCATTTTAAAAATCATACTTTCAACGAGATGATTAAATCTATAAAAAATCTAATCTGGTGATTTTGTGGTGCAATGTGAAACAAAAATAATAATCTAATATATAACTATCCCGCCTTAAATAATAATACAAATTACAATTTACCACAATGTCAAACATTTTTCTTCTTCAGATAATTGTTGTATCTTGTTGCAATAAATCCCAGAGTAAAATCTGGTCCAGTGCCCTATGAATCACTTACAGAGATAAACATGTGAAAAATCACTTTCCATCAGTCCAATAAC